CCACTCGATATCCCAGCGTCACTACAATGACGTTCCCTCTTTCTGCAATTTCCCGACCACTGTACAGATAGTTGTCCAGGAAGTTGGCTCCCATGGAACCTCCGGCCAGGAAGCCTCCTCCGTAGATCCAGACCATGACGGGCAGGTCTGTGGACACTGGAGAACCAGGGGGAAAATCAGTCACTGGTCCGTCAATTATTGAAGGTAAATATACAGACACCTCTGACTCAGGGCCCATTAACCATGTTTTATTCCACAGGGGGCAGTATAACAAAATCTAGAGGTAACAATGTCAAATGTATGCTTCTTGACTCACAAAAATGTTCTACAGCTTTTTAGAACATGTCTCCAGGTACCAGGGAGTACAAGAAGTACCAGGAACAACATAAAGTTCCACAAACTATGCATTTCTGTCCTTAGTCTTAAAAAACAAAAAAACAAAAAACTGACAAGATAGGATACAGTAAGTACAGGAACTGTGGGGGCGGCGCTTGCAGCACCCAGCTTTCTGATTGGTTAGGAGCTGTCAGTATGTTATCTCAGTCAGACTTCTTCTTATAATGTAAGTGCTGTGTATAGGGCTCCCCTCAGAGGTTAACTAAAGGTATGGTAAAAAAAAAAGGGCATCATATCATCTGTACAAAGACGGGCCACGCCACAGCAGCTGATTTTTATATATATATATATATCGATGCTGCAGTAAGTACAAGAATTGTGCAAATATATTTCCGTCCACAACTATGGCATGTTGTACTGAAAACTGATGGAAACTGGAAACAGCCTGGTCCTGACCTGTTACTGATGAACAGGTCAGAACCTGAAACCTGGTGGAGATCATCTCAGAACCCTGATGGGTTAAGATTTTTATAAAACAAGTTTTTATAAAACATTTCTGAAAGGTAATATTTTTGAAGTCTGAGACATTGGTACCTGTGCGTAAATGAGGAACCCAGATGTTCAGGTACAGGCAGTCCTCACTGCCTCTCGTGTCACTCATTAAAAGGTTCACCTGAAGACATCTGTTCCTGTACTCTGTGGTCTTCATGATTCCTGGTGAGAAGAAGAAGAGAAGAAGATTCAAGTTTGTTGGAGAAGTTCTCGTTCTGTTATCTGTTCTACTCTTTATTTATTTATTCGACAGTTTGACTGAACCCACCGTCCCAGCCAGGGTGACGCTTTGGTTTCTCAAACCTTCCAGGGAGGTCAGCGAAAGGAATCCCTCTGAAGATGTCCATGTAATGGCGGTAACCCAGACGAATGTTCTCACCCTGGACCATCCCTCCCTCGGTGTAGACCACCCCGAGCTGCAGACATCAACAAACAGGTGTCAGGTTTGCTTCATATTCAGCTTCTCTGTTGGTGGAGAAATGAAAGACATTTGGGGGTTAACTCACAGATGACCCTGAAACTGTCTCCAGAAAGACGGCTATCGCCACCAGACTCCCCAACATCATCATCATTGTGACCAAAGTGTTGCAACAAGGCGGATGGTGGTCCAGAGTCTTATAAAGCACCTGGTCATGTGACCAGGCGGCACAGAGGGTGTGTACCTGCTCTTTCCACTGTTACATAAATCAACATCTCACTTATTCTCCACCAATCACATCACTGCACCAAGCCAAACCTCCAACAGGTGCTCCAGATTTTCCATGAAGGTCAACTGAAGTCAGGGCGTTTAATACAGATGTTACTTTCAGAAACATATGGGGGTTGACTCAAAGAGGCTCCAGACAATGCTATAAAACCATCCTGAGACAGATCTAATGGTTGGAGCCCAGGCTGGAAGACAGAAGCTTGGGCTGTTCTTGAACACCATACATTATAGCACATGTCCAGCTAAAAGTGAAGCACCAACCCTGCAAGGAAAAACAAGCTAAAAGCAGCTGAGATTTGTGTGAAGGATTTTCATAAAATGCAACCAGATTAGTTAAGTTAGACAAAAAATAATTGATGGTAGGGACATGGCCCAAAGTCAGCAAAGAGTTAGGAGTCACCAGCCCCAAGAAGAACCAGGCAGAAAGGTCACATGACTTTGATATTAAAACTGAGACTCCTCTCCATTGACATGTGATATCACAACAACAACAACAACAACAACAACAACAACAACAACAGCCACTCCACAGCCTTTGATGAAGTTCTTTCTGCACCAGGTTGAACGACCAGGTGTAAAATGTGATTTCACAATTTTCTTCTCCTTTTTTTTGAGTATTTCTATCAGGAAGCAGCTGAAGTTGACACAGCTGTTCACCGGGACAGAAGTCTCACTGCTGTGGAGTCAGAAAAGGTGAAGCGCAACAGGCGGTGCATTTTCACTCTCCTTCAGTCTATACACACAATTTTTTTTCTCCACTACTTTGAAGTTTTTCCTAGAAAAAAACGATCCACATATAAATGGATACAAAAAACAAAGACTGAACAAATGCACAAAAACAAAAAACAAAAACAGTGACAGATCCACTGGTTTGGTCAAAGGTTCTATGGTGTTAGAAAGCCGAGTGCAGTAAAAGTTCCTGTAGCAGACTCAAACACAGAAGCAGTCAGTTTGGGTTAGGGTTAATGATTTGTTCCTCTCTTCCTAGAAACAGTGCTGGCTTTTTGTTGCTGAGACGTGACTACAGTGACAGGACACTGAACTGTCCCAGTGGTACTTTAATCAAAGATGGAATTTTAGTACTGTTTTCAGTACCATTGATCCGCAGAGATAAATTACTGCCAGGAAAAGGAGGAGTTCTGGAGGAGCAGGGAGAGTCCTGGGAGAGCAGGGAGAGTCCTGGGAGAGCAGGGAGAGTCCTGGGAGAGCAGGGAGAGTCCTGGGGGAGCAGGGAGAGTCCTGGGGGAGCAGGGAGAGTCCTGGGGGAGCAGGGAGAGTCCTGGGAGAGCAGGGAGAGTCCTGGGGGAGCAGGGAGAGTCCTGGGGGAGCAGGGAGAGTCCTGGGGATCACCCCAAACACCACATTCTTGCCCAGACCAGGAACCACAGTCTTCTACATCACTAACTCTAACTGTCTCCCACCATAGTACTGTAGTACTGTAGATACACAGTAATTACTGGATTATTTTTCTCACCTGTACTAGATACAAAGTCATATTACCATTCAGCGAATTCTGGTTCATTGATATTGATCTAATCTCATTAATAATTATGACAACAGTCTCTTAACCAAACTAGAAATCTTTAATATTTTCAGTATAATTATTGTAATACAAAAACAAATATCACAGTTGTTCAGTCTCTTCATCAGTGTCACATATAATCCAGAATTTCTGTCTCCATCTCGTTCTCACTTCCCTCAGACGGCTGAAAGTCCTCGTCGTCCCCATCATCGTTTTCCTCCTCAGCATCATCATCATCAACATCATAATCACTGTACACTGTTGACTTCACACTTTTGTGTTGACGTGTGCTTTTCCGTGGATTGACAGGCAAATCTGGGAAAACACAAAAGTAACATTCAGGTTTTGTTAAAATGTCAAAACAATAATGAAGGTCAACAATAATTAACAATATTTTCTCTGCTTTATCACATGACTAGACCTCTGCCTCCCACAGACCAAAGTCTATAGAGAAAATCAGTGATTTTAGCTCAGACCAAAGTCCATGTACAATGACCCATGAATGTAATTCTTCATATAAAACGTTGCACTCTGAGTGATGAACTTGACAGTACCTTGTTTCTTGGCCTTGACGAGCTTAATGATCATTTCTGAGATGATGTCCCTCAGCTTGTCTGTGGTGCCAACGACACACCAGCCGTCACGTTCGTTACACTCCATATCGTCTTCAGTTTTTTGATCAATCACCTGTTTAATACTGGACACACAAACTTTAATTTACATCACCAATTACGTTAAAACATCTTCCATGGCACAGAACAGTTTTGTACCTTTCCACATGCAGATCACAGAGCTGGTAAAACATCTGCCTGTGAGGAGGCAGCATACCCTCTCTGAAGACGTAGGACGACTCCTGTGGAGACAGTGTCAGTTTCTGGTTCAGGTCCTAAACTCTGTCCCAGATTATTACTACACTTCACACCTGAGTACCTACTGACCTTCACCTGGTAGATCACCGGTGCTGTATCTTGACTGGTACTCGGACCCTCCTTACCTGGAAGATCCATCAGACTGGCTGCATGAGGACCTGGACAAAGACATGGTACTGATGATCAGAACTGAACCCATGGTATTTCACACTGGGTACCACATCTAAAAATCCACCAAAATCCCAACCCAGCAGTCGTCAGGTGAGGGCGGAGTCACACCCAGGACAGCTCTCTGGGCCACAACAACCATTCACACACACATTCACACCTGTGGTCCGTTCAGAGTTACAACAAGCAGTTGAACAGGTGACCTCTCACCTGCCTTGTTGAGTGTGATGGGCAGACTGTAGTCCAGGGAGCTTCTCTTAGCTTTGACAGGAACGTCACCTGGTGAATAACCTGCAGTTGGACAACGACAAGGACGACCAGCAGAGGGAGACAGAGGACAGGAAATTAAAAAAAAATTAAACTCAACTTCTCTTTAGTTGGTGTTAGAAATGTTTGGCTACATTTTTGTTTTTAAAGAGGGCTCAGTTAGCAGTCGGACCAGATGACAAAAATATCCATGAACACAGTCACCTAAAGACTGAAGATGAATATATAGAACTTTCACAGGCTAACAAAGATCAACATGTTCCTGTGCTTGTTCCACATCAATGAATCTATTTGTCCTCGCTGTCACTATCAAACTGACTCTGGAGGGGGATAAAGCTCTGGCCCTTTCTTCTGCTGGGCTGTTGTCAGACTCTCCACCAGCACCAGTTCCAATTCGTACCATTAGTTTCTTTGCTGCTGCTCCATCACAGTTTTCACCTCCAACATCTGTGCAGTTTAATTTCAGCAGTTTGGCTCGTGATCTTTGATCACATTTTATTTGTGTTCGTTGTGAAAGTTTTTTTAGCAGCAACAATGAGTTGCCACGAGGATAAACGGTGCCCTCTTGGGGCCATAGATGAAAGCAGTCAAACTACCACTTATATTCCAGAAAATAGAATATTTTACTTCTACAAACTTCAACAACATTTTCTACTTTGGATAAACAGACATTTTAATCATTTCTCCTGTTTTAGACCTTTTACTGCTGCACTTTTGTCCCTTACCATATTTGGTGCTGCACCGGATCCTGAAGTCCAGCATCTGGTACTTCTTGGCCTCTCTGTCTTTTCGCGGGTCGTAGCCAAGCCTCACCCACAGGCTTCTCCACGGCCCTGTTACCTGGCAACATTAGAGGGCCAGAAGCTGCAGTGAGAGACTTTTCAACGTTGTTGTTGTTGTTGACAGGCAGTGTGTCTCCCCCAGCTCACCATGTAATAGGCGTAAACCGGCAGCAGCAGCTTCAGTTTCTCTGGGTGGAGGTTGATGTTGGCCCTGACTGCGTTCCTGGACCAGATGAGTCGACTCTCGAACATCTGAACATTGGATAAAAGAGATCAACTGTTACTTGTGTGTCAGGCTCTGTAACAGCATTAGTTACATCACTGATGGTGGAGCAGGTGGAGACACGTCTGAGGTGAAACTGATAAAAACGGTAGACACTGATTTTTCTTTTACATATGGAGACAATTTTTAGACCTGATTGCAGACATTGTGACACACGTGATGTTCTCTGGCTTCCTGTCAAACATGTGACCATTAAAAGATGAAAAAAAAAAAAAAAACCTCTTTTATTCGCTCCTCAGCCACTTTATCAAAGTCCTTCACGCAGGCCTTGGTCCAGTTGACTTTGGCTGCTTCCAGACATGTGGATGGAACAGTGGGGTCAGAGAAACTGACAAAGATGGCGTTGTTGGGCCGACGTATGCGATTCAGACTGATGAAGTTGCTGTTGTTGTTTTTGGGGAAGAGGCTTTGAAAAGAACACAGAATCCAAATGACTTTTTCTCAGTTAGGTCAGGTGTAGTGACCAGACTAACAAATCAAGTGTTTAGTTCAACAGTAGGAGTTGCAAAAATTGCATTGTACATTGTGTTTTTTTATGACTAAAAAGAAAAGTGAGGTCAAATTTCAATTAAGCAATTTACAACACGTGTGTGACATTGTTGTGACTGACTTGCAGGAGGAGTCGGGTCGGTAGCAGTAATCCACCGGCGTGTCAAGGCGTGAAAAGATGGCCGGAGGCAGGAAGTAAGGCATCGGCTGCTCAAAGAAGGCTTGGTTCTCAGATTTGTGGAGGATGATCTTGTTATACAGAGAGGTGTCTTTTCCTGCTGCTGTGTGCACAGCCAGGCACTGGAAGTCAGCCATCCCTACAACAAACAGGCACAGGGAAAAGATTAAACCATCTGAAAACCCTGAAATTGAAATATGCGCTTTGGTTCACACCCAGACTCTGTCTACGACCTTGGAATTTATAAGTTGTGGTGATGACTCCAAGCAGATCCATGTGGATCTCCACATCTTTCGGATCCTTTTTCCCCACTCTGCGTCGCACTCTGAGGAGGAGGTTTGCTGAGGGGAAGCGATTGCCACACAGAGGGTGACAGAAGGGATCCTGAGGCCGGAAACGCAGCTCGATACGGCGGTTGGGGTTAGCGTACGTCTGTGGATTCGGCAGAGCATTTTCCACTGCTACAGTAAATGTATTCACTTTAATAAAAAACACAGACTCTTAGAATGCTACTGCGCTAACTTCAAAATGCCCTGTACAACACATAGTCTTTAGTCAACTACTACATCTGTAATATGTATTCTAGTCCTGCCCACAAATACCTCTGACACCAACATTAGCAGAAGGACACGTATCTACCGATAAATGAAGGTTGACCTAAAAAAGAGTGCAAATTGACTTTCTGTGTTTAATTCAACTCTACAAGTTAGAGTATTGTTATTCTCTCACCTTTGACACCGTGTGCTCTCCTCCCAGAGTCGCCAGCATGTTGGTGGCGCTCTTCACCACTGCGGGATACTCCACGCACACCAGCCGGTTATCCCGCAGCTCCACCGTGGCCGAGGATCCACGGAGGTTATCCTCTTCTGATTTACAGTTTGCAGCGTTGAGTTCTATCAAAGTGAAGTCCAGCTTATTGTTGCTGTCCGCCATCTTTCCTTTTCCCTATTACGTCACATCCTCTTTCTTCTTCGGGCTTTCTTTTTTTTACGACTGCGACGTTGCTTGTGCTCCAGTACTGACATCACTGATTCATCGTCTCTTGTCGACGATTTAAGATTTTATTTAAGGGAATATTTTATCCTCCTTGCCCAGCCGGATTATTTTTGCAAAAAACTATTTATAAAAAAATATATAATATTAACTATATTATTATTATTATTATTATTGTTGTTGTTGTTGTTGTTGTTGTTGTTGTTGTTGTTGTTATCATTACTATTATTATTAAGGAAATGATGTTAGCAGTGGTGGAGTGACTCTGAAGAGTAAAAGCCTTTTAAATTGCACGTTAGTAAAAACCTTTGCTAACCATGTTCTGACCACATGAGGTCACTGTTTATCTGACTATAAAGTTGTAGGCAAACTGTTTCTGTTACAGTTACTCACTTGCATTAAAGCCTCCCAGCTGTCAAACAGTCTCTGTCCGATTCTCTGAAAACTCTTTTTATATATATTGGACATTTATTTTGTCAGCAATTAAGAATAACGTGTACCCGACCCGAGAGGCAGCCATGTTGGTTTTCACAGAAGTCCTCACCATCTCTAGACAGCTTTTGTGTGTCAGTGGTAAATGAAGACTGCCAGATGTGCAATGAGACCAGAATAAAGAGCTGAGGGACATTTTACGGTTGTATGTCTGTTCATCATTAGATGTTTGGTGAATTGTACACATCTTACATGTGACTGGATCTCGATTTATGAGTTGCTGAAGATAAAGAGCGACATTGATATTCAAATGATGGTAGTGTAAAGAGGATTTGCGTGCTGTCCCTCCCTGAAACTGTCAACACACAGTTGTCCCCTCAGAGAAGGAAGACGACGGCACACATGTTCCAGAGTGTTTACTTAAAAACTTAGGGATGCTCTTCTCCTGACAATTACAGTCTGTGACAGTGACAGTCTGTTTGCTTTGATTCTTGTTCTCCTTCTTTTCTGCTGCCTTTTCATGCAGCACACTCACACGAGATTTCACTGCCTGCAGGGTTTGAAGATTTTTGTTTTCTCACTGCATCACCTTCACCTGAGCAAAGGTTGAAAACAGTGTGTTTTTTTGTTCATACTGCTTTCTTTCTTTTCTTTTTAATTAAACTCCCGACATCAGCAGGGTATTTCATCCATGGAAACCTGACCTGTGACTATGACAACTTTTAGGAAATGACATAATTCAAAAGTTCAAAGTTGTCAGCTTGTTTAGCATCACTGCAAATATTTACTCCACTACTAGTCTGTTAGTTGATAACAATGAGTTTCACACCTGCATGAAAAAAATTGAATATACCGGAATCTCTTAAACAGGAAACAGACTACTCACCTTGTTCAGGACACAATAACAATTACAGATGAAACAGGTGAATAAACCTGAAATACTTGAATGTCTGTATTGAACCCTTTACAATTTTTATTATTATTATTAAAATGCAAAATGCATTTTGCAGGCTTTGCTAACAAAAAACAAAAAAAAAATTAATAATAAAAAAGTATGAAAGTGTCATTCAAAAAAAAAATAATAAAAAAGTATGAAAGTGTCATTTAGTGGGAATGTGTTGTTTTGGTCTTAACTGAAGAACAGCTGCAGGTGCCGGACAGAGCGTGGACTCCAGGTCCGTTCAGTAAATCAGTAAAGTTATTCACTTCCTTTTGTTTCCATCAGTGAGGTTCCAGAGAAGTCATGTCATCTGTGACAGTGTTTGATGTGAACAGGAAACAGTGAGTGGAGTGTTTCAGCCCTTACTGTTACATATTTGCATCAGTCCTGCACTTTATCACCCCACCAGCAGCCCAGACTGTTGCAGAGTCAGGCTTGGACTGTCCCAAAATACACTGGATATGTTTAGAAAACTGCATGTCAGTGTGTTTTGGACGCTGGTCAATATTTTTACTAAAATAATTGAATCCATAGGAACCAGGCGCAGATATGCATTTGTAAATATGGGGGAAAATGATTCAAAGAAAGGAATAGGTTTTGATTAACAATCAGCACTAAACACTTGCTTTACACCCCTTTATGAAATGATAGCATTATTGATCCATTCATATTGTTATTACAAGTGGTTGTAAGTTACTGACTATAAAAAGCTACAAAAAGTCTTATAAACTCAAAGTGTTGTTTTGGTTCCCATGGCAGCGGCTCATCAGGTCGTGTTCACTTCATTACAACTGATGTTGAAGATCATTAACATCTCTCTGTGCCCGAGGTCCCACATTCAAATAGACCGAGCGAAGTTAATGAAGAAAAGGTCGTATTGTTGTCATTAATATTCACCTCGTCTGTCTTTGTTTGTTTTTATTTCTTCTGATTCCTCAGGGAATCCTTCCCTCTCTACTTTCAAGTCCCACTTTTCCAGTTCTGTATGTGAGACATTATTGCAGCTAAACTTTAGCCTCATACGGTGAACACAGATTGTTGGAGAGTATCCCCTGCTCCTGCGGGTTTTTCTTAATGGCTGAAACTTAGCAAAGATGTCATCAGTGGCCAGTTGATGTCGACATGACTTTAAAAATGGGTGTAAAAGTCGTGCAACTCCTAATGTACTGTATGTATGTATGTATATATATATATGTATATATATATATATATATATAGTTGTTTTGTTTTGTTTGTGAAACTATTATTTACCATTTTGTCATTTGTTTAAAAGAAGAAGAAGAGGAGACCTTAGGCACTGACTAAAAATGCTGTTTTCTGCTGTAGTGAATTTTTTTTTTTTTTTTTACGATCCTTCTGGGTCTTTTTCTCATATTTTTTTTGGTCTATGGTCAGATATTTCCTCTGCCTCTTTCTGTTTGGCTGCTATCTGACTGACGCTGAACGTCCGCTCCTCCCTGCTGGCCTCCTGCAGCCGTTGGTGTGTGCAGTGACCTTGATAAGGGTTATCATTGATGTTCTGTCAGTGAGTTGACGCTGCCTGGAAGAGTCTGCTGATCTCAGATTTCAACAAGTTCCTCCTTCAACTCCTACTTTCACCCCTCACGTCAATTTCTCCCTCTCCCCGACTTTCCTCCCCCTCGCTCCTCGTTCCGTGTCACTCTTCAGCATCACATTTGATGAGTACGTTTATACTTGGCCAAGGTTTTCTGTGGGCACGCCCATATATGGAGCATGTGCTTGTCGATAACAGACCACACCCGCAAAACTTCTTCACTCTCTGGGTCGAAACACATGATTTTTACCAGTGATTTCTTTCATTAGTGGTAAAGAACTTTGTCTGCCGCGAGGTTTCTAAACATTATTAGACATTTTTACAGTTTGAGTCAAGTAAAGACAAAGTCATGTAGCAGTTATTCTAGTTTGAGGCTTCATCGTCAAGGATGCTGTTTTCTTAGTCTAACTTTTAGCAAGTACCATCCCCCGTTCTCTAAGTACTGGATTTAATTACTTCTGTTAGCTTACTTAATAAAATTAACATAACCTAGCCTAACCTGACTGACAAAAGCAGCATTGACTAAATGTAACCTAACCTCCTGCAGATGAGCGACTTTAGTTCATTGTTTCCCAAAGACTGGGTTGCGATCCTCAGGTGAGTCGCAAGAGGAGTTTATGAATAATGTCTATTGACTTTGTCGTCGTGGGTTCTTAGAAAACTAAACTCATTTAACATCAATAACCTGACCCTTATAGATCTGATAGGACCTAACATGACCAAGCCTCTGTCAATTCCACTTCATCCAAACTAAGGACTAAGTTTATCCTACATGATACAACATACTGTAGATATGTCAGTCAACCCAGTGGTTCCCAAAGTGAGGGACCCCTACAGTGGGCTTGACGTTAATACTACCTACAAATGTCAGTAGCTGCAGAAAAAGTAACCAACGGCAACCAATGATAACCTAAACTAACCTTAATTAACCTTTTTACTCTGATAACCATATTATTATTATTATTATTATTACTATTATTATTATGCACATTCTTGTTTTTTTTCTCGTCTTAATCTTCTTGAGAAAAGACTGTGTCACTGGTTTTCGCTTCATGTCACCAACACACTTATCTGTAGCAGCACAGCACTGGGTTAGCGACAATCACACTGTGTCTCACACACATACACACACATACAGGAAATGAGCTGACAGTCTGGTTAATTTAGTCTTCTCTGCCATTGACTAAAAGTCATAAGAGTCATAAACAGAATTATTTTCTTATTTGTGTTATTATTATTTTATTATTATTATTAAGTCTGTCAGGTTGGACAAATTGTTGGAACAGTTTTTTTTAGAACTGTTGTCTATAAACCATGAAAAAGTCCAAGTACCGTTGGGACTCATTGTTTCCACACAAACATGAAGACTGGGACCTGAGGAACTGCTGGAACTGAAAGTGAAAGGAAGGAAAGTGAACTCCTTGTCATCGTGACACAGCTCACCACTGAACACAACCAAATGTGAGCTCTGTTTTAACCCATCACCAAAGTGAACAGTGGGGGAGCAGTGTGTGTGGACGGTGCCATGCTCAGAGCACCTCAGTGGTAACTTGGCAGCCGGTGGACTCAAACCTTCCAGACACCAGTCCGCTTCCCTAACCACTAAGCCACCACTGCCCTAACATCATAAAACATCATGCAGCAACATAACAGTTCATACCTTTATATTGTAAGTTCCCAGGTCGAAAATTTATCATTAAGAGGAAGTCTGACTGATGTGGATCTCCCTCCCTCCCTTACCCTCCCCCTTCCTATAGTCCAGGTGAAATCAGTTTAACTGAATGTACTGAATCACAACAAAGAAAAGGCTGTAACTGTAAGAGTCATTTTTCCTAAGGGAGAAAAGGAGCAGGGAGAGGAGCAGTGGGGGGAGGGGGAGGAGGAGGCAGGGGGAGGGGGGGGCAGGGGGAGGAGGGGGCATGCTGGACTAGGGTTATTTAAAAAAAGACAAAGAAAACTGTCCAGAACTGTCCAGAGTGTGAAAGGAATAAATGATGACTCAGATTTCCATGGCAGTTCTTTGATGTAGAGTCAGGAGAAAGTGTGCATGAGTTTTCCATGAAGGTCCAAAACAGGCGCTGCTTCATTTGCATAGAGGTGATTTGCAAAACAAATTCCTGCTCAGTTACCTGCTGAGGGTGTGTGTGTGTGTGTGTGTGTTGTTCTAACAACACAACCCTGATGTCAGAGTCTTGATTTCTTTTTCTTTATCTGTATATTCATCTTTTAGTCTCAGGGCTGAGGTTGCTGCTCTCAGATTTTCAACGTTAAAATAATCCAGTGTCAGCAGAGTTTCCAAAGGCCAACAGTAACCTGTGTTTTTTTCTTATTTTTTCAAATGTGTTCAGTTCAGTTACGTAGTACTAACACCTCAGTTGGCTACGCAACGTTGGCGATACTATATTGTACTACAAGCTACTGTATTGTAATATACTACAACCTGCTATAGTATAATATACTGTCACTTACTGCACTATAATATACTACAACCTGCTATACTATAATATACTGTCACTTACTGCACTATAGTATACTATAGTGCAGTAAGTGACAGCATCTTATACTATAGCAGGTTGTAGTATATTATAGTGCAGTAAGTGACAGTATAATATACTGTCACTTACTGCACTATAATATACTACAACCTGCTATAGTATAAGATGCTGTCACTTACTGCACTATAGTATACTACAACCTGCTATACTATAATATACTGTCACTTACTGCACTATAATATACTACAACCTGCTATAGTATAATATACTGTCACTTACTGCACTATAGTATACTATAGTGCAGTAAGTGACAGCATCTTATACTATAGCAGGTTGTAGTATACTATAGTGCAGTAAGTGACAGCATCTTATACTATAGCAGGTTGTAGTATACTATAGTGCAGTAAGTGACAGTATAATATACTGTCACTTACTGCACTATAGTATACTATAGTGCAGTAAGTGACAGTATAATATACTGTCACTTACTGCACTATAGTATACTACAACCTGCTATAGTATAATATACTGTCACTTACTGCACTATAGTATACTACAACCTGCTATAGTATAAGATGCTGTCACTTACTGCACTATAGTATACTACAACCTGCTATAGTATAAGATGCTGTCACTTACTGCACTATAGTATACTATAGTGCAGTAAGTGACAGTATAATATACTGTCACTTACTGCACTATAATATACTACAACCTGCGCTATAGTATAACAGCTAGCTAGATAACTAACTAACTAGCCAATTAGCCAACTAGCTAGCTAGCTAACTAACTAAGTAAGTAACTAACTAAGTAACCAAGTAACTAAGTAACTAAGTAACTAACACGGCAGCAGTAGAAGACCAGCTCCTACTGGTCACATCACCGGCTAAAACTGCTGTTTTTGTTTGTGGGGCAAGAATCATTATAAGATCTTGTGCATTTGCCTAAAAAGGCCATGACAGTTACAAATACAGACTTAGTTCATTTTGCAATACGTTACTTCACACACAGCCTCAGGTGATGCACACACGCAAATACTCAGCGCAGGAGCAGCTCCAGCTCCAGCTTCACACGCTGCCTCCTCATGTTTGTCTTTAAATTTCATTAACCAGAGCGTTACCTCTAGAACTAATGCACCTGTGTACCTGTGAAACGGAATTACAGGTGCACAGACACACACACACACATATATATATATACACACACACGTTTTCTCCGTGTCTTCCCCCAGGCTACAACCCTCACCCCCTAAAAACAGCCCTACTCCACCTCTTTCAGGACCTGTGTCCTGTTTGCGCAGTCCCACCCACTGACATCAACATGATTCACTTTTCTGTGGATGGTTACCTGTGCACTATTTTGATTTGCACACACACACACACACACACACACACACACACACACACACAGGGCGACTAACTGTCATCAACACAGACCCTGGTGAACCAGTAACATCAACACGTTTTGAATAAAAGCTCAGGGATTTGTTTACCAGACAGAAAGCTTTATCAGCTCCTCTCTCTCTCCTCCTCTCTCTCTCTCTCTCTCTCTCTCTCTCTCTTTTTCTCTCTCTCTTCATGTTCACACACTGATTTTTATTCTGTCGAATTACAAAGTAAAAGAAAATCACCATCCAAAATGGAAGTGGAACTGCAAACGATTTTTACATCGTAGATTTGTCCACGTCAGCTGATGGAGAAAACCTTTCGTTGACTTTATTAGTTTGGTGTTTCATTTCAACAAACAGGACTCGTCAACTCAGGCCGGTTAGATCTTAGGAATTTTTAGCTCGATTGTAATTTTATCACGGCAAGTTGACAAGTACTTAGCTTAGCTTTTAGCTATTTTTCCTTATTCAATTTGCATTAGCGTATTTGACTATTTTGCCTCACTTTTGGCCATTTTCCACTTACTTCTTTAATAGACAGACAAATATCCATTAGCTTTTTACCTGTTCTTTAGCTATTCATTAGCAGCCAGTGTTAATAGGGTTAACTTTTGTGAAAGATTTGGTTTCAGCTAGTTTTGGTTGTTGACTTTTTATGTCAAGGTTTGTAATAATAAGCTAATGGTATTAATAATTGTAACATAAAGGCTAATGGTTGCCAAAAAAATACAAAGAAAGAAGACTAAAACAAACAAAAGCTAACCAGTAGCCGTTGTTCCATGGTTAAAAATGTTAGCTTGAGTTAACCAACCAGAGAGGTGTACAGTTTTATGGTTGTTGTTCCACAAGCTAATATGGTGACGTTGACTGTTAAACATTTGCCTCTCTCTCTAACACGCACACACACACACTAACACACACACACTCACCAACAACAGCAGCAGCTGTTTGTCAGATTTAAAGGCTAAGGTGATGATCTGATTTGCCTGGAGCTGATTGTCCTGACATGTTTGACAAAGGTGGAGTGTTAAAGTCAATCCAGCAGCGGCAGCAGCAGTAGACTCTGTGACAGTTGACTAAAGTAATCACCCCCCCATCCCCCTTTTTTAAAATTTGTTTCCAAACGCCTTGTTAATTAATCCTTAACTCTGCTTTGCTGTAAAAACTAAGCAGCAGCAGCATTCAGAGTGTCAGCAGTGTCTGAGGGTGTGTGGATTTTTTTCTAATTTGGATTTTCCACCGTCTGCAGGTCCGTTCCTCCTCCATATCTCCTGCACATTTCCTTTTTAACATTCTATTTTCAATATCCAAATGTAAGACAACTCCATAGCCAAATGCTATGCTGGAGATATTTTTTTCCTCCTCCCACAGGAGCGTGAGAGGGAAAAACACACATGAAGAGTTTGAACGTTGAGAAAGTGCGTGTTAGCAGTAGCAGTTTGTGTCATTGTCCACAAACTTGTGTACTTTGCCTCACAGCGGCGCGTTACTCCTGTGGGGTTTTATTTAACAGAACAATCAAAGATTTTTTTTCCTCACTTCCCTTCACCTTTTATTTCATTATAAACAAAGAAATGAAACAGAATCTGAAGGTTCCAAATAAATAACAAGAAGTAAAAACCAAATCTACACAGACAGGAATATATTAACTTCATTTTTTAAACCTAACTATGCAGCCTTTTCATGACTCATTTTAAACTAATTTTAGCTAAATATCAAATTAACATTTAAGGGTTTGGGTGAAATTTGAGTGTTTAAGTGAACAAACCTGAGTTAGAGATGAGCTAACTCAGTGTTCCGTGTTGTCAGAGCTCCACTTTTTTTTACACTGTAAAATCTCAAATGTCAAGAAACGTAACTCAAAGTTCGCAGCATTTCAGATCAGATAAAAGCCTTTAAAGGGTTTTAAAATCTAAAATTAGCCAAAGAATATTTTTGTCACTTGATCTGGAGGAATAATTTAATCAGTTAATTTGCTGTGTTTTTTAAAGTTAATTCAACATTCTACTAATGTAAAAAGGTAAAACCAGTGATAGTTTCCGAATGTTGCTTCATGATCACATTCTATGTTCTAAGACAACCTGCAGAAGCTAACTGTTAGCTTCTACCATTTCCAGGAAAACAGTTTCATAATTCATCTTTTCTCTAATAATAACAGGTCGACATGGGAGGCCATGATATTAAATAGCTACACAGCAGTCCTTCCAAAATAAAGCCAGGTATTTACATTAAATAAAAATGTATTCTCGTCGTATGTTATTTACAGCTGTTGTGAAAACAGTTCCAGGTTTGTGTGTCACTTCATGCTGTGCTGACTCTCATGGTGCCGACGCAGGTCCACTTTCCTCTGGAAGCCCTTGGAGCAGATGTCACAGCCGAAAGGTTTGAACCCGGTGTGTTTCCTGCTGTGTGTGATGAGGTTGGAGCTCTGACTGAACGCCTTCCCACAGACCTGGCACTTGTGAGGTTTTTCACCTGCAAATTGAAAACAGGAAAATGAAATGAAATGACTTGCGCAGCACCAAATGGCGCCAAGATTTGAGATAGTGAAACATCAAACATCTAACAATAGAATCCACTCCTGGTTGGACTTTGTCAAATGTTCGAAGCCCAGTGAAGTCATGTTTCCTTTGACGGTGGCAGAGAGAGCAGATATGCAAACACCATATTTGTTTTGTGATTTATCATCGGTACTATCTTTCCTAGACACAGTCCACGTTCCTAAAGAGCAGGTGGTGGCAGCGACAGGACACTGTGATAAGTGAACTGTCATTAAAGTTGATGATTGTTCTTTAGTCTGATTTCACTGTCAGCGGCCTCAGAGAAATGATTCTGAGGCCCTGTTTACACGGCTGCGATTCAATCTGACTACGGTGACTTCTGGATACAGAGCATTGACGAGGATCACGCCAAACAAATTCAACATTTAAACAGAGTTGCTGGACATTCCTGTAGTACATATGCTTGGCCAGTATGTGGCGCTGTGTAAACCACGCTCTTACATACTGATACCTAAAGAATTTGTACCACATGTTCAGAGAACTGCATACTATAAACAAACTCAAAAGAGAAGCACAAAAAGACACAGATGGCTAACAGTAGCACACCACATTAGCAGCCAAATTAGCTTCTCCAGTACGGTCAGAAGTAGCTTGACCTCTGCCATTGTTGTTGCTGTTGTTGTGTGGGGCTGACTGTATCACAGTCGTCGCACTGACCTGTGTGAATGTAGGTGTGCTTCTTCATGTCCGACTTCTGGTGGAACCTCTTGCCGCAGTACTGACACGGGTACGGCCTGGTGTCTGAGTGGATCAGCAGGTGTGTGGACAGAGTGGACGAGCGTTTAAAGGACTTGCCACACATCTTACACTCGAAGCTCTTCTCCTGTTCAGAGACAGAACAACATTGTCCACATGACAACAGCTCTGTGGACAACAGATGTGACACCTTTGACTCTGGTGGGTGCTGGCACTCGTACCTGTGAGTGGACGTTCATGTGCTGCTCCAGGCTGACCGCGTGGCCAAAGGTTTTCCTGCAGATGCTGCAGCCAAAAGGTCTGGTTCCACTGTGAGACCTTCGGACGTGGACCTCCAGCCCATGTGGTGTGGAGAAGACCTGAGACAGAGCAGACCTCACATCAGCATGGACACCGGATCGGAACCCACACACACTTTGGTTGGTTGTTTGGTTGATGGTTGTTTGGTTAGTTAGCTAGTTGGTTGGTTAGATGTCAGTTGGTTAGTTGGTTGCTTGCTTAGTTGGTTGGTTGATTGGTTTATTGGTTGGTTATTTGGTTAATGGTTGGTTAGCACACTGGTTAGTTGCCAACCTCTTTAATTGTTTCTGGAAAGCTGTTTAGTTGGTTGGTTGGTTGGATGGTCTGATGTTTTTTTTTTGGTTGTTTGGTTACATACTGGTTGGTTAATTTAATGTTTAGTTGGTTGGTCAGTTGTTGAGTTGCCTGGTTAGTCGGTTGGTAGATGGGTGGTGGTGTTCATACCTTGTCACAGGTGATGCAGTGGTAGGTGTTGGACGTGGGCGAGTAGTGCGTACTGAAATCCAGAGGCTGCTGAGGTGTTGGACTTCGGCGGATGTGTCCTCTGTACAGACTGCTGGCGTGCTGCAGCACCGTCGGACTGAAGGTCACCTGACGCAGCTCAAAGGAGGTGGGATGAGGCACCGGCTCCCAGGCGTAGGTGGGTTTGTAGTACGAGGAGAAGTCTGCCAAGTGTGGCTCTGAGAGGAAACAACAAATGCCCTGGTCAAAGTCAGACACTGAGGATACTCCTTATGTGACTTGAGTTTTTAAAGTCCTTTATTCAAATTCACTTCACTGAGGCATCTGATGAAGCTGTTTTTAAACTTCAGGAACATGAAGGAAAAGTCCAAATCTCACCCGTCAGGAGGTAAGGCTGCGCCGCAGCTGCAGGAGTTCTCTTTGGTTCTGGGTGAACTGATATCGGACACAAGACGTCTGTGTCCTCCTTGTCAGAGGACGGTGAGAGCTGCTCCTCAGAGTCGGACCTGAGAGACAAGTCCATGCACTGGAGCTCGGCTGAGGTCTCTGCAGAACCACACAGAAGAAAACAGGACTGAACTCAAGCAAAAAAGGGTTTAAAGGCTGGAAGATTTAAAATATCAAAAAGTTAAAAAACAAATATATATATATATATNGTGTACATATATGATAGTATAGATTTGATATAAAAATAAATGACTACAAAAAAGAAAATAAGCAAGAAAAGAGTATAGTATATATGTATGTTAAAATGACAGATTAAACAATAAAATCATTACAATAGGATTACTGAAATACATTCAGGAAATTTTAGGAAATCATTATGTATTTCAAATAACGTGAGCTACAACAGAACAGGATGAAATGGAATGTGGAATATAACGCAGTCTCCACAGCAGTGAAAGAACGGTGGGACCTGCAGGTGCAGTTTTTGTTACTGTTTACTGTAAACAAGTAGCAGACACTTTCTGTTACTTCATTTTTTTGTTGTTGCTGCAAATCACAAATCACTGCTGTTTTTTCAACTGTAAAATTCCTTCTCAAAATAATTATGAGAAGAAAATGGAGTTAATTTTAATAACGTTTCTCGTCGTATTGTCGTTCTGTCACTGCGGTGAATCTTCAGCGTCTTTTTATTTAGGTTCACATCGCTGAGCCTGAGATTTTGTTTCGGTTTTCTGTGTTTACATCAAATTAGTTTTAAAAAGGTTCTTCAGTCCTTGATCCACTTTCTTCGCCTGCTCAGCTGTTATCATACACCTAACCGTGAGTCATGTACTTTTTGGGAATCTGTGGATGAAGGAAGGATGGTGGGCGGAGCTACAGTGTTCTGAGGGTGATCAGGTAACAGCTGTCAGCTGATCATTTTATGGCCTGAACAATTTGCACACATTTGTCAAAGATTGTGATTAGACGTCATTTACATCTGATTCTCCTGGAGAATCACTTGACTCCACCCACACGGTCAGTCCACATGGACCGAACCGAACTGACCCAGGTTGACCTAAATTTAGGAATCAAATCTCTCTAATTACCAACGGTGAGATGTGGAATTACAATAAAATTCAAAACTTAAAAACTTCAACCTTTATAAAAAAAGAGAACTAAATGTAAACACTTTGCAAGTTCTAGTAGAGAAAAGGCAAAACTGTGAGCAATGTATTATTATTGTTATTATTATTGTTATTGTTATTGCTGTTATTATTATTATTATCGAATGGTCTGTGTTAAAAAAAGGAATATAAAGAAATACCATTTAATAGTTTGTAAGTAAAATACTAAAACGCTAACATCAAATTTAAAGGATTTTTTAACTACATTAAAGACTTTCATTGGATTTATTTAAAGAAAATTAATAATTAGGAAATTACGGTTAAGTGTAAGGAAAAAATGTCGCGGCGACTTGAGGTCGTTGACAGACAACGAATAATAATAATAATAATAATAATAATAAAGTCTTCCCTGGAGTCCGAGCCGTCGGTTCTTCTTCATAGGACCTGTGCACGTTGAAGGACGCGCACCGTTTATTTTTCACTAGAAAAGACCGCGGCATCCTGATCCTGCCACAGAACACCGAACATCAGAAACAACTAAACACTACAACCACAAAGTGAATGTACTCGTTTTAGATTAGAGTGTGTCGTTGTTATATATAAGAAACCAAACGATAATCGAGTCTTATTTAATGGCATCTACAGTTAAACGACAATGCGCCGCAGTGCTTTATCCCAACATCATCCATATGGTAACGTCACAACACTTTCTGTCAAAATGCACTTTTTACCGAACCATTTACAAAAGACATGACCGTGAACACCATAAATGAACGTGCATTTAATCACAGTAATGGCAGAAGATACACAGCTGAATATAGTATTTGTTGAGTACAACTTTAAAACGTTGTTTTTGTTTTACCAAATATGTTTGCGCAGACTCACCTTAACGGAAACGTTGACAGTCCAGCAGTTGTTTTTAACAAATAAAAACCCCGGATGTTAATATAATATAATAAAAATAAAGAAGACAGAGATGGATGAATCTTTAAATCCTTCTGAACTATGAAACGTAAAGCAGCGCTTTAAAAAAACCTCTGACGCCTCTCTCTCTCTCCTTCTGAGTCCTTCACTCTCTCCCCCTCCCCTCCCCTCCCCTCCCTCTTTCCTCCCTGACTAATCACATTTCCAATCAGATTACTCCTCATTAGAATCTGACTCTGGTTTCCACCAATGACGAGGCTTCAGCAGGTACACTGACATTTGCTTAAAACAACACCCCAGGAATTGTCGTCAGCAGCGGTGCAGAAAGAAAGACGTTTTTTTCAACATCAGGCGAAAATACAGAAAGAGTTACGAAGTACAATAAGTTGGCTTTAACGAAAGCCTTGAACGAAATATGTTTTTTTTTATTTCGAGTTCATTGTCCAACAATAACAAAAAACAGCGAGTGTTTCAAATTTGGAACTATTAAGTTATCATTAAATCAAAGGTGAAAGAAAATCACACATTCACACCATTCACACATGACATTGTTTGATTTACACGATTCAATCGAAGGCAGTTATTGTTGAGTGTGTGAGAAGATTTAAACGGCCAACAGATCACAAGTGCGTATCAGAGAGAGGGAGTATCTCCAAAGATACACAAACCAAACCTGTCCTGGTGATTTACAGAAACGCACACAACTACACACGCGCCGAGAGAGAGGGAGAGAGAGAAAACAAACGAAAGATAGAAATAGAACTAGATTGGAGTTCATTCAGTTTTCTGTCAAATTAACAACACCAATGCTAATTAAGAATAAAACAAAAGACTGAGGTTTATGAACTAAATAAATCGTTCTTCGGTGACAGAGAGGAGCGGGTAACAGCTGAAGCAAGTACAAGTTTAAAGATAAGCATCAAATATCCAAAACCTGTTATTAGAAAAAACTGTTGACTGAAAGAGAGATTAAAATTTCAGAATTTATACCAGCGAAAAGAGAAAAAGTCAAAAATATCCAAATGATATTGAAATACGGTATCTTTTACAGAATAGAATAGACCAGCCTTTTTTCCCATTCGCACCTCTTGTCAATTTAGAGTCCAGTCCACTAGGGGCTGTGGGGCCAGGAGGTTTTCTTCTTTAGCAAGTGTACAGAACAAGTCTGGATTTAATTACTTACTACTGAAAAATACAGCCTATTTGTTGTACCATAGTGTTGCACGCCTGCCTTACACGCAGAGATTCTGGGTGCGAGCCCCAGAGGAAACACATATTCCTAATGGGGCCTCCTGTGTGGGTTGCAAAGACTGGAACTCTTGTGGGACCGATGAGGGACTTTATTATTATTATTATTATTGTTGTTGTTGTTATTACTATTATTATAATCACTATTATTATTATTAGTAGTAGTAGTACTATTGCACTAATGGACCCAGTGGGGGTCAAGTACTGTAGTACTGTGCAGTGCTAACCATCTGTTGGAAGAATTTAATTTATTATCATTGCTTCATGCCTTAAAGCGACACTTTAAGAAACTGTTTGCTTCTCATATTATAATCTAGTGTGCTCAAGCCTGATGGAAAAAGGCCCAGACACAGCCACACCCACATTCACACCCACCTTCTTACTCCATACCCATTCATATACTCACACACGATCCCATGATATGTAATCTGATACTTTTGTAAACTAAATAAAAGAGCAGAGGAAGGATGCTGCAACTCGGAGTTGATGAGGAAGCTGCCAACAGAGCAAGCTGCACTCTCCCCTTGCAAGTAAAAGATCCAGACGTCTTTTGTGTTGTTACTTTGTCGTCACATATGTTAGAATAAACACCATCTCTTACAGTTCTACTACTGTTCTACTGTAAGTTTTTATTCTTTGAGTAAAAGGCTTGTTTTTCTGTCACAGACTGTAATCCATAGGTTACCAGAGGTAAACCTGATTGCGGTCTGCAGGAGGAGAGAGAAATAAAACACAGAGAAGACTGTTATAAATTCAAAAGATTTCTATTTGTTGAGAGGCTTTCTATCCATCAGCGATATCCTCATTAATCCGTTTGTGCAAACAGTATGAGAGCAGTTTATGCTGATGAACCGGTCCGTGTATAATTATAGTCATGTGTTCACTATTGTGATTGAAAAAAGAACTATTAAATCCAATGATTTCAATTTTTGCATGCATATCAATCTCACCACAATTGACATTAAATCATTACTGAATCAAAAATATTCTCTAATAATCTCCGTATTAATAATCGCCATGAATTAAATCTATAATGAGATTAAATGACGCCCATAGTTAAAGAAGTGTTTTTCAATTTCCTCGTGTAGACTTAATCACGTACAAAAATAAAGAATTTTTCAAAACTCTGTTTTTAGAGAATACCCCTTAATAATAAGAGTGGAGAATACCCCCAAGCAAGTGGAGTTATGAGTGTTGTAAAGTGCAAGAGCGACACGCTGTGGTAAATGTTTGGATCTACAGCGCCTCGGCTGTGCAGTGTTCATTACATATAACTTGTGTTGACTTTCTAATTCGTTGTATTATTTTTGGGCTTTCGACATTAACCCATTCCTTTCCCATATTTGCCAGTGTTTGTTTGAAAGTCACGTGGTCACATAAGTATTTCAGGTACATTTTAGCTCACTTCCCTTAACTTTGTGGATGTTGGTTTAGAGCTTGTTCATGTTATGTGTAGTCAGAAATACATTTATATAATTTTGAACTCTATAGTAATGTCTTGGCACTACTTTAATGATAACATTGACGCTCTCTTTCACCAATGCTCACTAAATTGCAATTTAACCGTAATGTAATCCTTGCCTTACTTCCCATATGTTTCCGTTAACTCGTCTAAGACATGCGCACTTCAAGTGTGGGTCACGCGAAACCGCATCACACACGGTTCATTCTACCTTCAATGAAAAAAGAAGGAGAAAAACTCAGCCCAAAAACAGTCATCTGACTGGACACTGCATGAAATTGATCTTTGTAAGTATCTCAGCCCGCCATTTATCAAACTTTCACAGTTTCAATTGCAAATGCTGTAAACTAAAGTACTGTGTCATTGCGCTAACTGTCGGGATTAGTTTACATGCAGCCTGACAGCGGAGGCACACTGCGGTGGGATGGGCTGTGAGCTGTTCAAGATGGCGGCGCCCTGTGGAGTTTTGCACCTCTAACAGGTAAACAGCTATTTTTTCCGCTTTTCTGCGCTTTTCCCATTGTAAATTCCCTCTTGCGTGGTTGTTTATGCTGTATTTAAAGTGTTCGATGAGTTACTTCGCAGCTTGGACGCACTTGAACTGGTCGCCGAGCTCCAGTAGCTCCCTACTCCCAGCTAGCGTTAGCTGTCGGCGGCTTGTTTTTGAGCGAACCGCTGCTGTCACTGGAGATGCTGATGGTGTTTTTTAAAAGCTTATGTTCGTGTGTGCGTGTTCCCCCGCTTTGTCTGAGGTGATGTTTGTTTCTTCAGAGAAAGACTGACTTTGGTGTTTGTAAATACAAGGGAATAAAGTGAAGCTAAGCCTGTCCATTGTTCTCTGATAGTTGTTTACGACACACATAAATACAGTAGCACCAGCAGTCAGACGCACACACGCCCGCACATACATGCACGGGTTCATATATTCTTTTTCATCCTTTTTCATCCTGATTGCTATGCGATACTACATTGATGTCCATTCAACTAGGTAAAGTACTAGACCTAAAAACACCCTTAAAGGTAGAGTGTGCTAGAAATATTAATAAACCATAGAATCAAAATCCATGTTATTCTCTGAATCATACAGCATGCATAAAGATGACAGTGATAGCTGTGTTAGAAAACGTACTGGTCAATTGCACTGGTCAATTTTACAGTGTGTAGAGTGCCCCACCTCCATCTACCCCTCCGCAGCCCTTCATATGCAGAACATCCTACAAATGTCACCTACCTCGTTAGGTCATTATTTAAAGACAGTTTGGTTGGTTGGTCTGAGAAGTTGGTCCATTGTGTTTGAATCATTGTGAAAAACTCAAGATATTAAAAAGAACCACTCTTGCCTGTGCATGATGAGTGATGAATAAGTCTGGAGAAGATCTGGAGATGGGTGTGGTAGATATTTTACTGTTAATTTTTTTTTTAATTAAGTTGCTCGTATGCTTATTCTGTTTTGGACATTCAAGAGGGTGTAAACAAAGACAGCTGTTGTGAGCGAGAACCTTGTTGCATGTTCTGCTACTGTGCAGTGAGAGAACATTTTCAGACTGACAGTGAACTTTTAGGGCTGGACATCCTTGTCTGTTGTTATTTGTCAAAACATCCGTGCAGCAGAATGAGGAGCCTGTTTGTAGAAACTGTGACAAGGCCAAATGTTATTTTCAGTGTTAGCGTTTGGGCCGCATAAAGCTCCTTTGTGTCCTGCTGCTAGTTCCCAACAGCGAGACCACAGCGAGAGAGGGTGGCTGGTGTTTGTGCCACGCTGACCTGTCCCCACTGCAAATAAATAGGTGAAAAACATTCACATTAACCCCCCCCCTGCCCCCGTGCCTCTGTCTCTAACACCCGTCGTCCCAGCAAACCACATGACCCAGCGGATAATTGATAACAGGGAGACAATGGCGTTGTGACTCAGTCTGTGATTCGACAAACAGGACGTTTGCAAGCGGTTGTTGTTGTCTCTTGTTTTTCCTGTGTTGTTTATTGGAGGCTGAAGTGACCAGCGTCGTCACACTTCCTACTGCTGGGCAGTGTCCTCGTCTGACTCATGGGTCCTCTGAAACTGACACACAAAAATAAGGATTTATTTTAATTTCTAAATGTCTTATCTGGATAGAGCTTATGTTGTCTTGGGAGATCTTTTTAGGAGCATGGGATTGTACTGGCTTTCACTAAGTGTATGGCGTTTCACCACAACCAAGATGACATTCTTGGTTGAAATACTTTTTATATTTTTATAAAAAATGTTGACATGAGCGTTTAATTTTAACACCAGTGGAATTCACAGTCATCACGTCCTCCAGTCATGCTCCATGTATGAGGAAGAGTATGAAGTACTAACTGATGCAACATTTTACAACGCAAGGCCTCCGTGTCTTTCATTATTGTTTACGTCAGTGAACATTACTTAAAGTTGCATCATTGAGAATATTTTTTGACTGTTTTTGTCAGATTTAAATGAATTTAACCAATGCTGTTTTTCAGAGTGGTGAGCTGAGAGGAAACATGTCTGTAGTCCAGCTTCTAATCATGACTTGAACATGTTACTATAGTCAAGCTATAGTCAAGTATAAATGTGCTACACATTGCCAGTAACACCTTTTCTCCTTGAAATGAGTGGGTAGATCTTATTGTAGTGATTTTGTTATGTTATGAGATGTTAAGTCAGGTTCTGATATATATATATATATATATATATATATATATATATGTATAATTTTTAAAATATTTTATTTTTGATTTTTATTTGTTAAATATTGAGATTTTTTATTTAGAAAATATTCTCATATGAAAAAACACATTTAATTTGCAAAACAAAACAACATTTCATTAAACACATATACCATATACCACCGACAGTACACTTCTTCAAGAATCTCCCCTTTCTGTGCTGCAGAGGTGCCTGGAGACGGTATTGGAGGGTGGGGTCCAGGAGTCCTCCAGGCAGGAAGGCGGCTGACACAAGGACACCGTAGGAGAGACACACTGACGCCTCCTCCTACACCTCCTCCACCTCCCACAGTGCTGCCAACACCACCATGGCTAGGGAGCAGACTAATGTGGGGGACCTCCTCCCACTCCTGGAGACCTCAGACCTCCAGCAGCTGGAGGAGATCAGGGGCCTTATCAATGAGCAGCTCAGCAGTGGTAAGATGGACAGTTCTGATTTCCATCACTTGACAACAAAAAGTTTAATTTTAAATTCTATTTTCATAACAAGTAACTATGAATTGATGAGTGGAATGACAAAGGTGGGTGCCAGTGCAGCAACGTTCTGACAAATAAAAGCTTCAGGAATTATTCTGTATAACCTGTGTCTGTCCACTGAGTGGTTAAAGTCAGTGTGAACATCAAACTACCGTCTAATAACTAATAAAACGAATTGCTGTTTTATGGTGTAGGCCCACAGCACACTGCTAACGTAGTGTGACACGACTTGAAACTGTTCTGTTGACTCTGCTCTGAATGGACTCTATCGACTGGATTGTGATGTTTTAAGTGATGTTCCAGTTTGTCATTCTGAATGCATTTGGCCTCCTGTGGTTAAACATACTGTAACATATTTTACAAATGCTGAGCTTGGAGTTTTCTTTGCTCACTGTAAAGTTCTCGTTTTGTGGATGTGAGCCTTTTCTACTGTTCTCAAACACAGAACACATCTACAGATCGGGCCAATCTACCAGACAGTACAGATTTTGATCACTGTCTGGTAGATTGGTGCATCTGGTTCATGTGGCCTTTATACTGCAGTTGGAGTTTTCATTTGCCCAGTTCTTCAGCAGAAAAATTCTGCTTGTCTTTTTTTAACTCTAAGAACGAGGGTCGATGTTGCTGAACAGTCTGGTGGACTACTTTTTGGAAACCAATTCGTGCCAGGCCATGCATATCCTGTCTTCAGTCAGAGAGCCACATGATAAGGTGAGGAGAACCGCAGTTTTATTATCATTTGTGATTGGGTATCAGGTTGCCAAACTTTCTCTGTTCCTCTTCCTCTCCCCAACTCTCTCACAGCACCTCCTGGACAAGATGAATGAGTGTATGACCAAACAGGCCTGTCGACTGCCCACGCTCACCCTGCTGGGGCACGTGGTCCGCAAACAGCCGTCCTGGATCCACAAAATCGCCCGATACCCTCTGCTGCTGTCACTGCTTAAATGTCTGAAGGTAACACAGTAACAGCATAAAGAAATCAGGTTGTCAAGAATTGAGCACGTCTGTTGATGACCCATCATGAAACATGGACCAGGCTTTTTCTGACATTTTTAGCAGTTCTTTTGTTTTTGTTTTCAAACTGCTGGTGTATCATTACTCCACCCGTCACTGAGGTGAAGCTGTTGATCACATGTCAGTGACATTTTCATCCTGACAGACGGACACAGACGTAGTGGTGCTAATAACTGGAGTCCTGGTACTGATCACCCTGTTACCCATGATCCCTCAAGCTGGAAAGCAACACCTGTGGGAATATTTTGACATCTTCGGCCGCCTGGCTTCCTGGAACCTGAAAAACCCTGGTGAGAACTCCTTGTTCTGTCACATGTGCTGTTGATTCTTTTTATCCATTTCTGTTCCAGACGGCCGGTGAAAATGATGAACTGACTGTGGGTTTTTCCCCTCTGTGCTCAGGGCACATTTCTGAAGTTTATCTCATCCATCTTCACGCCAGTGTCTACTCGCTCTTCCACCGACTTTATGGCATGTATCCATGCAACTTTGTTTCCTACCTGCGCTCCCATTACAGCATGAAGGAGAACATGGAGACATTTGAAGAGGTGGTGAAGGTGAGGAGTTTAAAACCTGCATTTGCACTAACTGTTTTACCCACAGGATGATGTCAGATTTCGTAATATCTTTTTGTCAGGGTTTTTGATGCGTTTAAATTAAAAAAACACTATGTTTTGTCTTGTGCTACGTTATCTATGTATAGGCGCCAAAATCTATATTTAATTAACAAACTTTCACAGATTCTCTCACACAAACCTGTTTTTGGCAGGTGCATTAAACCACAGTTTACAGTCACACTGGGATTCTTTTAAGAACAGCCACTGTACAGTATTTACTCTGTTTTAATGTTTTACTCATTTCTAGTGATGGGTGATGCCTTATATCAAAGTCTGGTTAAACGGTACTGGTTAAAGGCCCCTAATGACAGCCACAGATAATCAAGGCTAAAAATTTGAACCTGAATTTCATTAAAATAAAATCACTGTTTAATTTTGAATTTGTGGCGTTGCTGTCTTTTGTTACGGTTTTATAATGGCAGAAACATCAAGGTATACATCAAATATCACAATACATTTTTTAGCCCATGTTGCTTAGCTTTCATACAAATGTTGTTCCCAAATCTCTCTGCAGCCGATGCTGGAACATGTTCGTTTACATCCTGAACTGGTGACGGGAACAAAAGACCATGAACTTGATCACACCAGGTTAGTAGTGCATCCTCTTCGCCTACAGTCTGACTTTTGACCTTTTTCTGGTCTACTCTAACTCTGACGGTGCTTTGTCGGTTGTAGGTGGAAAAAATATGAAATCCACGACATTGTCATTGAATGTGCCAAAGTGTCTCTGGACCCGAAGGAGGCGTCTTGTGAGGAGGGCTACGCCACCATGCCCGAGAGCTTCTACCCCCAAGTCCACATGAGACCACAGGACTGCACCTCCAGCCCCTACACCGACCTCCACAGCAGCTATGGTCAGAAACTTAAACATACTTTGTACTTAAGCTTTCTGCGTCAAACTGAATTCAGAAGAATTCTGTTTTTTTTATATTATGGCTACGTAGCAGCCAAAGCTAAAAGCTAAAGGTCAGACTGAATTTAAGCCAGGAATAGCCAAAAGAGACAACGACGATGTTCTGCACCAAGTTGTGTATAAATTGCTCAAAATTTGGTAAATCAGCTGAATTTTAAAGTGTAACAAAATACTACAACTCTGTACTAAATTAGTTAAAAAAGACAGGGCAACTGTTAAAAGGAAAAATCAAGGAAAATGTAGCAGCAATAATATTAGTAATAGTGATATTAACTATATTATTAATTATAATAATACTTATAATAATTAAATGTTTGTAAATTCAACAGCTCATAAAGGAAGACAGAAAACCAAACAAAGCTACAATACTTTTTATTTCATTATTTCATCTTTACAAAGCATTATATATTAATAAAAATAAGGGTGCAAAGGTCACGTGAGGTCAGCTCATCTGTATAGTCGGTTTTGTGGTGAGACTTGATAGAGGGCAGATATTTGCTGCTGATATTTTGTGGACCAGTAGTTAACTCCAGTTGACCTTTAGTTAACTAGGTCCTCTGTGTTCCAGTTTCGTCCAGTGTAAAATGATTCTTTATAAAAACACACACAGGGAACATTTTGCTCCACACCAGCAGAGTGTTTCACAGACTGCACACACTGATCGGACCGTTTGTCTCTCTGACAACAGGAAGTTCTTCTTCGACCCCGTTCTCCACCCCACGGCAGCCTCTCCTCCCTCCGCTGTCCTTGCCCCCCCTTTCAGGGACACAGTCGTTGTACCGCAGCCCTCAGACCTCCAGACGACAGGTGAGACCCTCCCTCACACAGTGTCAAAGTCCTGCCTTTAGATCAATGAGAGGTGAGGAGGTGATGACCACAGCTGTGCTGTTCACTCCTCACATCATCCATCAGATGATCTCCTTCATCAAGAGTTGGTGCCTCAGCTTTCTACATCATCACATGTGGAAGTAATAATACTAATAATTGATTATGACACAGAGCAGGGGTGCCCAATAAGTAGATTGAGATCTAGCAGTAGATCGCCAAGAGAGCAATTAAATAAAAATAAATATATATTTATAAATATATATCATATGTAGTTTAGTAGTGACCATCCACTGTAAGAAATATTCTTGTTTGTTTCTTGTATTTATAAAGTATGTAAGGTGGTCATTTCAACAGTAGCTCCTGAACCAAAGAAGTGTGGACGCCCCGATATTGAGTAAACATCAGCCGAGAGATGGAGGAGGCTGGAGGTGGTTAGAGTGCCAGCAGGGGAAGAGGAGGAGGAAGGAGATGGAGGCAGATGATGGGGCGCCCCCTGAAGGCTCCTGAAGGGAGCAACAATGGAAGACTTTTTTTCCCTTCTCATGCCTCATTCAGATAAAAAACGCTTCACTTGATTTCCTCAGAACTTGACCTGTGAACTCAACTCTTCCTGTGGGGGAAAGGACCCTCTATGGAGCCCCTCCTCTGTGTGTGGCATGGCCACGCCCCCTTCTTCCAGGGGTATGTCACCAAACTTGGAGCTCTCCCACAGTGCCTCACACCTTTCCAGTCGCTTCCACTGCACATCAGGTGAGAACAGCTCTGAGGGTGTGTTATGTTGTGTGTGTGTGTGTGTGTGTGTGTGTGGTTCAATAAATAACTAGGTACAGAAGCCATACACTATTGTGTAAAAGTATACAAGACTGTGAAAAGTCTAAACAAACAACTCCTTTATTATTTTGGTAAAGTTAATTAAATGTGATGTGTGTGTGTGTGTCCATTCCTTCATGTTTGTCGGCATCAGTGAATAAAATAAAACAATACCATTGTCCGCCCAGGTGACAGTGAAACTTTTTGGGCTCTATTGTGTTTATTTTTCATGGCTGACTGATTATGGTCTTGAATTTGTGTAGGAGGGAAAGGAACGCCGGCCTCCAGTACTCCAGCCACATCTTCCCCCCCACCCACTCTATCAGATGACTTTCCAATAATCTCATTACCCACCAGCACAGTCCAGTCCAGTCCACCCAGGAAGGTATGACGTTTTCACACAACAAACCCCTGAGATGGGAACTATCACTGACTGTACCATGTAATGCACACGTCTCAAACCGGCCCATTGGCCAAATTTAGTTTCTCATGTGTTTATAATATTAAGTGTTGGTTGTTCCAGGTTCACTGTTTACACAGATTTAAAGTTTGTTTCCATGTAAATAAAATTTAAAACATTGCAGATCTGGAGAGAAGAGAAAACATTCACAATTGCTGTCAACTTTAGAATAAATATTAAGTTTGGCCCACTGTGAGTTTGAGTTTGACACTCCTCATGTAATGTAACAGTAACATTGATGTGTATCTATGTTGGAGGGGCTGCTCTTCTAAAGATTCACAATGATGTATTCAAAAACCCACTCACACCCAGAGAAGAAGTTGTATATTATTTTTAATCTAATAAATTATGAGGATGAGAAAGACGGCAATGTGAGGAACTGTTTACTCCAGTTCCATCAGAACACAACTGTTGTCACCTGTTGTAAATACAGCTTTTTATCCACCTTTGTTCTAATGTTGACAACAATGAAACTGATGTGATGTTTCAGGACCGTCGGTTTGGTGAAAGTGGTAAACCTGCGTTGGTGAGACAGGAGCCGGTGAAGGACATGGAGAAGAATTCAGAAATAACCACCAACAGAGGTCAACACAACAAGTCCATCCCTGACTTTTACTTTTTTTTATCTTGTTATTGTTTTGACGTTTAATAAATCTATAAACTTTGGTTTGTCAGATGTCAGAGCTGTGGAGAACATCTCCATGACTCTGACGGAGCTGTCAGTCTTCATGAAGAAACAGGAGCTTCTGCTGAGGATGGAGAAAGAGAAGGAGGAGGGTGAGTGGTGGTTAACTTTAGTACTGCACATGCACACACACACACTATCCATATAAGCGTCAAAGAGTCATATTCTAGAACAGGGGCCTTAAACTCACAGCCGGGGAATCATTTCTAGCC